CCAGACTATGAACTTTTCAGCCCGCCCTTGTACATTGTCACGCTGGAGGTCAAATCAAAAACTTTTTAGGTACTTCATTCCCACCAGCTCTTAATGCTGGTGGACGGACAGTTTCTACTGATTACGTCGGAAGGTACGGCAGCAGGCCATCTTTAACTCCCTTTGAGGAATCATGAGAAAGAGTGGGTGGTGGCTGAGGTGAGAAAGACGAGACGGACGAAATGAAGACAGAAAAGATTGAAATATTATTTGTGGAATAAGACCTTCTGCCCCAGAATTTATTTAAATATCATGTATGGAATAAGACCTCCTGCTCCAGCATTTTCCTAAATATTATGTGTGGAATAAGGCCTTTTTCCTCAGAATTTTTATAAATATTATGTGTGGAATAGGACTTCCTGCGCCAGTATTTGTCTAAATATTATCTGTGAAATAAGTCCTCCTTGTCCAGCATTTGCCTAAATGGCCCAAGGAAACCATCGAAAAACTTGGACAAAGGCAGACGGACCGAAATCCCGCCGAATCCAAAGCAAAGGTCTAAACCCTAGGCCTGAAATTGGCAAGTAATTTTTGGTGGGGATCGGACATTTTTGAAATTTTTTTTATCAAGGTCCAGAAAACACATATTCTTTTGCCCAGAAAATGATAAGGGTGACGATCAAAGCTCACACATGCTTTCGTTCGGGGAAAGCCAGATCACGGCGGTTACCAATACGAACTTTTAGACATTGGGCAATATTAAAAATTAAGGTAGAAACCAAAACAAATGTAATATTTTGATTCATAATCCCATAGATATATCCTATATAATTTTGCCTTAAAAAAAAATAAAAAATAAGTTCGATTCAGTTATTAGGTAATTTTCAAAAAAAAAAAAAAATTTACGTACTTCTACAGCTTCAACAGCTTTGATAGATGTATTATTTTGACTTTTGAACAAAGAGAATGTCGAATAAAACAACCATAAATGGAGAGGCAACGTTCGCTTTTACAAATATTTGCGTTAGAATGTGTATATACACACATATATAAGGCAAACGTTGTTGAAATCGTTTGGTAGTAAAACAGTCTTAAATTGTATTCAGTTTTATAGCAAATTAACGCTAAAAAGAAAATAAATACACGAAAAAAAAAAAAGGTTTGCATGAATCATGCCATAAAAATTCTTTTCATTTAATGGTAAATGTTTTTCTAAAACTAGAAAGAATTTTGCTTTATTTTAAATTAATGTTAAAAGTATTTCAAAATGTACTGGACATGGAATGCGCGAGGGGCCGAAATTATTGCATTCATTGACTTGATTGTTAACAAACATGGCAAAAAGAGAAGTAGAAATCAATGACCAGGCGGAGACTCATGGTTGTGGTCCACGAGATTCTAAATTACCTCTACCATTAGTAGAGTAGTTCTCAACTTTTCGCAATGGACAAAATCTTTCTTTTTTTTCTTGCTTAGTAATAGGAAACTCTCAATTTAAATTTTATATTTCAAAAACATTGACTTGGTTGTTAACAGACATGGCCAAAGTAGAAGTAAAAATTAATGACCAGGCGGAGTTTTGTCACTGCGCAGCTCAAGATTGTGGCCCACGAGATTCTAAATTACCTCTACCATTAGTAGAGTAGTTCTCAACTTTCACTTGGCAAAATGTTTCTTTTTTTCTTGCTTAGTAGTAAGAAACTAAATTTAAATTTTATATTTCAAAAAAATTGACTTGATTGTTAACAGACATGACTAAAATAGAAGTAAAAATTAATAAGCAGGCGGAGTTTTGTCACTGAGTGGCTCAAGATTGTGGCCCACGAGATTCTAAATTACCTCTACCATTACTAGAGTAGTTCTCAAGTTTTCAAAATGTTTCTTTTTTTCTTGTTTAGTAGTAGGAACCTCTCAGTTTAAATTTTAATTAGAAGACATTTTCAAAAAAATGTTCATATAAGTATACCTGTGTAGGTACATGAATACATAATAATTAGTAACACGTGCACATTCTACAGTAGTTTTCGCTGAAATAACGAGGTGCCTATATATGAATACAGGAATAGTCATGAACTGGCAAAAATATGTCGTAAATCTTGCTATTTTGCCAAAATATTTAAATTTGCACGTAGTCAGTGTTAATTTTCCCGAGTTGCGATAATTTTTGATGAAAATGTAACCTGGGTGACAGCCCCAACTGTAAAACTTGGTGCGACTTTAATTTGGCAAACTGCTACTAACATTTCGAACAAAGATGGCTTTGTCCGACATGGACACAGTAACGCATTGATTGTATAACACCTGATAGTAAGTATTGCGCCTTCTAAATACGAAATAAGATAGGTAAACAGCATTTACATATGATTATTAATTAGATAATAAACTTGGATGCGTATTAATATAAATAGCCAAAAAAATAATACATAATGAACTTTCAATGGCGCAACTGCGAAAAAGCATTTAAAATTGAATAAAGTACAACTTCTTAACGTCTAATTCACACCATTAGTCAGATCATGGTCAGATCAATTTATCGTTGGAGAGAATTACCGTGGTGAACTGATTGGACCATGAATTGACCGTTCTTTATGGTATGAATACCGCGATATAAAATGAATGGTTGAGTCAATTTCTGTCCAACGATAATTTATTTGATTTGACCACTATTGAACCATGATTCGGCCGACAGAATAAATCGAGCTAGCTCTTTCAGAAACACTTGGTAGGAAGAAAATTTCCCACGCTATTTGATAAATATTAATTAAATTAAATTTTAGATCTGTTGGTTGGTACTAACAGGTTAGCTTCCGAAACATATGATAAGAGTTATTAGGTTTTCACGGCTGCCGTTATCTGGATGTTTGATATTTGGGCTCGATGACGATGATCTAGGATTCTATTTCCTCCACCTGTAAACGACTTCATCGGTCTTTTCACCGAAGGAAAAAGAATCCTAGATCAGGGCCATCAAGACCTAAGTACGTTCGTTGATTGTGCTCCGTATTCCGTCGAGGCCAACAAGACTGCATGAACCCTTTGCCATCGCGAGAAAGCGAACGGATGTTGGACGTAACGATACCTTCGTCAGAGCTTCGATTCTCGCAAACGGGCTTTCGCAATCGGCAAACTTTTTTTGTGATTCAAAAACCGTCCTTAAGCGAAAAGTAGCAACCTACCTGACTGAATTAAGGCTGTCATATACTGCTAATCGAGGCTTATGTAATATACGATTGTTTACTTTATAGAACTATTCATGATTATATTTATATTGATCTCGTTATCTTTTTTATACACTTTGTCAAAGCAAATTATTCATACATTACTATTAATTTCTACTCTGTATACTTTTTCAAGGGTATTCCCCGTATAATAAATAAATAAAAATTTATAAACGACTCCATCGGTCTCATCACCGAAAGAAAAGGAATCCTAGAGCACGGTCATCAAAACCGAATATCAATCATTATTCATTACACATTCACTGTTGTAAAGAATAATGTGGAGAGATTTGAGTAAATGAATCAGAACTTTGATCGGATTCAGGATCGACGTTGAAACTATCATGAACAACTGTATTCCAAACTAAACGATGGCTCTGCAGCACTACTATTTCAGCGGAAATAGGTAATTTACAGAAAAACATTTTTTAAGGTTGTCGTTGTGAAGCAATAAACACAAAGTGTTGACAGATGAAGTTGAAATAAATAAATACAGAATTCATTTAGATGTGCTACTATATAAACAAAGTCTAGATGTTTGAAAAACGGAAAAACTATTCCGTTACTTTTCTAATTTGCACGGTTTTGTTTATTAATGGGAACAGTATAGAATAAATACCAAAAGGGAAGAAAATTTTCACATTGAAATTGGAGCATACCCATTAAAAATACTTATCAATGCGAAGAATCAGTCGAATGCTACAATTAACTATGGTAATCATTACCCTTTTCTGTATACAAATAATTTGGTAAAGGTCTAGATGATGGCCCCCACCCCCTTCGAAGAATCGAAAGAGGAGGTCTCCTCCACCACTGCACCATAAAAAGTTCGTGGCGGTCTCACCCCCATAAAAAGTTATAGGGGTTCAAAGTTAATAAATATGCCAATTTTTATACATTTCTAGGCATGTAAATATTTATATAGTCATTCTTAAACAATATTCAAAGGTAAAAGTAATG